ATTTCCTTTACACTGGGGACTTGTCTTTCACAAGAGGTGTTTCTCTTTTTAAGAAAATATACTTGTCATTTTTTCTGAACATTTAATGTTTTGTATTAGGAGTTTCCCCAGAAGAGAGAAAGAAAAGTCTATCTTCATTAAACACTAAGTATAAGTGGGGAAATTAAAACATTGGGATGTCATGACAGCTATATACATTGTCTTCTATGATGTCACATTTGATTTTCTTTTTTTATGACTTTGACAGCATCATACTAAAAAAGTGATTCCACAATGACAGCGCTGGCTTTGAATTATTCAGTTTATGAATCTTACAGGCAGACTGTTTCGTATTTCCTGCCATTCCTGAAAAACTGACATTTAAAAAACTCTGAAAGGAAAGGGAAAATGATTGCTAATAACTAATTAATAACTCATGCTTGGCAAAGGTAACTTCGTTTAAATAGAATATCACACAAATTAAAACCAAATTAAACATAATATACAAAGTATTTCAAAAGTCACTTGAAAAATAATTCTCAGGGTGACATTTTGCACCCAATAAAATTGATAGCAAGACTCCAATTCAGTTTCGGTGGAGCCAGGACTTCCTCCTAAACAAAGAAAATCCCTACATTTCCAATCTGAGTTTAGGAACTATCTGTCAGAATTCTTGTGGTACTTAATTTAGTTAACTTTACCCATCCATTCTCTTAGAATACACTCCAGCAATTAATACTTACTGAGGTCAATGGGGCTTTTTCCATTTGACTGCCATAAGGGATTCAGAACCTTAAAGTTGGAACCTCAGGGGTAATTTTGACAATAGTCTCTCAGGGTTTATACTGTGTATTTTCCTATCATGACTGGGTTTTGTCAGCTTTCATTTTTTTGCTCTATTTTAGCTCTGTCTAATGTTAAATAAGTGCAATCTCTTGGTTCATTAGTATCAAGTAAGTTCAGCTATAACCTTTTTCAGTGTCCAAATTTGTCTTTTCTTCATTACAATTTAAGGTTATTTTTAAATCACTAAGGATATTTTTAAATCACTGAAGTTGGAAACATCTGCTCTCCAGCTTGATTAAATTCAGCTAGTCATTTCATATCAGAACTATAAACCCAATAATGCCATTTTAACATGCTACTCCCAACACCTAAAATGAAATTTTAGTGGTAACAGATATGAAAATATCATTCGAAGTCAAACCCTTTTTCCAGTAAACGTGACTGTTATTTAACTGTTTGGTTTCATTGAAACTGTCCCTCACGGTATGTACATCATTCTTTCTTACAGGAATTATCTCAGCTGAGCTGTTTGGACAGGTAAGAACTATGGGCTTGAGTACAGCCCGGAAGGGTAAAGTGTAGAATATTCTATATGAGACATGAAATAGATCCTTCCAGCTATGGCAACAGGGAAAAATACAAATGATCTTTTCACATTCTGGTTGCTCAAAAATGGTTAGCAGATGTCTTTGAATCTGGTCACAACAGTGCCTAGGGAGACTTTCATCCTCTCATCTGATTTAGCTGGGTTCAGAATCATGACCACAGTTATATGAAGAAATGTGCTGGTATTCCCTCAGAAACATCTGAGGTTTATTCAGGAGTTTATTTTGTCATTAAAAATATCTATCTGGCTGGTGTTAATCTCTCTTCCAACATCTCTCTATTTCAGTTTGAAGATGACAAGAGTGCCTGTTTTCTTTACAAGCAAGGAAAATTAGTTACGGATCACTTGCACTACATTATTTTAGTTCACCTATTTAACCTGAATCTAGTCTCTTTCAGCACATGAATCACCCTGGGACAGCATTTTCTCATTTTTAAACAAACAGTTACACACTCATCTTCCTTTCCTACTGATAAGCCAAACTTATTGCAAAATGTACAATTGGAAACAAGGTATCACAATTCCATAACATTTTATCCTGCAATATCAATATTAGTCTGCAAATATTATGCCGGAAATAAAAATGTGGGAGCTTCCAAGACAGAATCCTTTTGCCCTTATTATTTACTGCTTAACCTCTACTCAAGCAAAGTCCAGTTGAAGACAACAGATGGTACCTACACAAGTACAGAGTAAAAACTACAAAGTAATATAGACCTCTGCCAATTTATTTCATATGTTTTTAAAACCCGTCCTCATCAAAGGCTTCATGGTTTAAATGCTGGTTCAATAGAACAGTAGTAACTACACTGAAATCAGAATCATTTTTCTTCACAACTGTTTGTGGTTTGGCTGACAACAGGCTGACCATCACAGGTGACAGAGAAACTTATGTCTGTAACAACCTCTAAATCTTATTGATTCAGGGTGCCACCAGCTGTGGCATTTAAAATGTGATGAAACCTTTCTGATCAGCATCATGCACATTCCCCTTCCTACTGCAAGAAAACTCATCATCCTGCAAGTACAGGAAAGCTAAACCTACAGAATTACAAGCTTTTCATTCTGCAAATGTTGTCCTTTACTTGTATGTAGAACAGCATGAATCCCTTTACCCAGTGCAATGCAGGACTAAGAAATCCTCTGTGAGAAAGGCTACAATGAAAAAGTAGAAGTGAAAAACAAACAAACACAATCAAAAAAAAAAACACCCCAATGTCAACCCAAGCAAAAACTCCAACAAAATTTAACAAAACCATGAATTGTGGAAAAAAAAAAAAAAGAATGCTTTCCACCAGCCTCCGTCAGTTTTCAGTGTTATCACAGCACCAGCTTCTGGAGAAGGGAGTGAAGATTTGGTGTAAATTTTCTGTGCATACTTGTTGGCTATTTGGCAAAGAGGCAAAAGGTTGTTGCTTTATTTTTGTTTTGTTTTTCTTTTTTATTTATTTTCCCAAGGCAGTTTCCAGGTCTTTAACATTGCTCTGAGCCAGAGATGGTAAATAAAAGAAAGCAGAAGTGCTGCTGCCATAACAACCCTTCGAAAGGGAACTATTGAGATACGGATAGCTACTACACTACCTACAACCACCCGTGTGCATCATGACACATAAAAACCAGAAAACGCTTTTCAGCCACAGCATCCCATCATTTGCGGGCTCTGGGCAGCGAAAGCAAAACAAGCACGGACTCTTCCCCCCGCCCCCAAGCTTCATTTCTTTCACTGTTTGTTGCAGGGAGGCTCAAAAAAAAGTCCATCCGAGAGCCGAGTCCCACCCGGAGCTGCGCCCCGTGGCCCGCGGGAATGGCCGTGCTCCGCTGCTCCCGGGGCCCCGAGAGGGTGAACCGGGACCCTCCGCCGCCCCCCGGGTGGTACTCGGGGGAAGCAGCCGGGCCCACCCCGCATTCAAATGGTCTCTCGCAAAAGTTGAAGAGCTGCCCCCCCCTCCCCCTAGCCCCCGCGGGAGGAGGGTGCTACGCACGGCGGCGTGGAGATGGGGTCAGGGGAGTCCTGGCCCCGGCTGGGAGCGGGGCTGCCGGGGTGCCCATGTGCGCGGCTGTGCGTGTGTGAGACCCCCGCGGGAACGGGCAGCGGGGCGGGAGCCGCTTCCCCCGCAGCCCCCGGGACCGCGGGGACACGCCGGCTGCCCGCGGACCTTCCGCCACGGCGGGGGGCGAGGGTGGCAAGTCCGGGCCGGAACCCCCCATCCTTTGCCCCGGGGCGGTGACAGAGGTGAGCGCGGGGCCTCCCCCCCCTCATCCCCGGGGCCGCTCCGGGATGGGAGGCGCAGGGGAAGGAAGAGGGGGGTGCACGGCAGGTGCTTTTGGAGGGAGGGGAAGCAGGGCCCGGTGACTCACCCGTCCGAGGCGGGGGCTGCGGGTAGCGCGGCGGCGGCGCTGCCCCCGGGGCGCGGGGGGCGGCGGAGCAGGAGCAGCAGCGGGCGCGGGAACAGGGGGGAGCGGCGGGGCCCGGGCTGCTCCTGGGCGCGCTCTCGCTGCCCATCCCCGGCGCTGCCGCCGTCGCCGCCGGAGGAGGATGCGAGGGAGAGTCAGCCCCGGGCGCGGGCACGCGCAGCGGCGGAGCGGGGAGGGGGAGGTGGGGGCGCGGAGGCGCGCGCGGAGGGGGAGCAGCTGGAGAGGGCGGGTGCTCGCTCCTGCAGCCCTTCATCCCTTCATTCTCCCTCAGTACTCATTTTCTCAGTCTTCCATCTCTTCTCCCTCTGCCCCTCATCCCTTCTTCCCACGTCTTCCCATCACTGCATCCTTCACCCTTCCATCTTTCCAGACGTCCGTCCTTCCAGCCGTTATCCCTCCATCCCTCACCCGTCCATCCCGCCATTCCTCGGTCCGTACGCTCCCCCCACGCGGAGCCGCGATCCCCCCTTATGGTCGGTGTCCACCCCCACCCCCGTCCTCCCTCTTCCGCAGGGTGGCCCCGGAACCCCCAGAGCCGCGGCGGGATCGCAGGCAGCGCCGGTGGGCGCGGGAGCGCTGCTGCCCCCCGGCGCGTCCCCGCGGAGCGCCCACCCCCCCCCCCCCCCCGCTTTCCCAGTTCCCACGGGAAGGACGACCTGCTCCTCTGAAGGGCAGGAGGTCCCCAGTTCCCCCCCAACTCCGAGGGGAAAACCTGTTTAGCCCTCGCCCATCCTCTACTCTGCTCTTCCTTTTTTCCGTCTTTTTTTTTCCCACCCGGCAGCAGGAAACAAACCAGTGCTGTGGTAGGGAAAAAAAGGCGGTAAACAAGAGGAAAACACACAGATTACGGTCATCATTGACTGTATGAGGAACGAACCATACACCGGAGTAGTTCTTAAAAGCAGTCTTTCAAATCTTCACCCGAAACCTAAAAGACTTCTTGGATGTTTATTTAGGATTAAGAGTAATGATTTTAACATTAAAAATAAAAGAAACAACATATCAAAAGTGCACCGTGTAAACAGGAGACCTGTAAATCAAGTATGTCAAATAAACATGCACACCAAAGCTGGCCATCAACTCTTTATCCTTGCTCTGAACTCTCCGGGCATTATGTAATGTCAATAAACTGCTGCAAGTACATTTGAGGAAAAGATACAGCAACGATCATGAGAACACAGTGCTATTTATTAAAGTACATCAGTAGCCTTACCTGCCAAGTAGTGGCTTCAGAGGTTTATCTGTGTGTTTCTCATGAGCCCTCCAAGTAAACAATTTACTAGCTGCTCAGTGCAGACATATGATTCCCTGGTGTCAGTGTCTCTGTCCTAGACGTTTCTGAGTGGCTTGTGGATTATTAACTTTCGATGCTCTGCTCTGCCTTGTACCAAGAGCCGTGCAGGTATCAACAGCTCCCACTTGTGAAGCCAGGGAAGAAAGAGATTGGGTAGTTTTCCACGCAGCTCCACATTTCCAGCTGCTGATTTGCTGTATGGGCTACAGGCAATTAGAGAACCGGTCTGGTCTTCTAACAGGTTTATTCCGAAAGAAAGGCCTGACCCAAAGTTCACTAAAGACAATTACAAATATTTCTGCAGTCACGGTAGGAATTGGCTCAACCTACTGTGAGCTCATTGTTGGGGTTAACAAAAGAAGCCCTGCCCCTACAAACGGAGGGACTAAATTTATGGAAACATTATCAGTGGACGAACACAGGTTTCAGCACTGCATGCCACTGTAAGAGCTAGCAAGCTAAACTGGGAAAAGGAAAAATCCAAGCTGTGCACCTTTTTCATAAAATTGTTGAGAGAAAGCGAGGGATCTGCTTCTGCTTCCCTACAGCTATTGGCAAAAATACATACATGGCCAGAGGATGTCCTCTGGTTTCCACAGGCTCAACCAAGCCACCATATGCAGTAGCAAGGGGAGGGGAAAAGGGGATATTGTGAAATTATTAGGTTCAATTCTGGGCATCTGCAAAGCCAGGAGGAGCAAGACGTAAAGTTTCATTTTAAGGTGCTGCTGCTCACAAGGAAATTCTCAACAAATTAATCTTTCAATGGTTTTCTCTTCTCTGGTCTCAGTCCGGGGATTAGATCTGAGCACCCCTTTAACTTGTGGATTTCAGTCACTTCCCCCATACTTGCTGACTCCATCCCTTTTGTGCCTTCAGCAAGGGCTCTAGGCTAGTAAGAGAGATGTCAGGGAAGGGAAACCAGGCAGTGGGAATGATCTGGGTTTTGCATAGATAATGACATCTTAGAGTGAATACTTATCTAGTGTGAGTGGTACAGGAATTTGCGCTTTTTTTTTCTTAAAATAGTTAATATGGGGTTTTAGTATATTTAATGCAGGTGTTAATATAGGTTGGTTTTTGTTTGTTTTTTAATCTGTAGTTGCTGATGAACAGCTCTAGTACGTCCAACTGAGCCCAGCGTAATAGTAGCCTGCTAGTTAAAGTGATTCCTGAGAAATGGGAGACTGAGTGTAAACATTTTTTTCCCTGAGATTCACAACAGAAAAAGAACCACTGAGGTCCCGTCTGTTCTCAGATGAATTACTTTAGCTCTCTCCTAGCTTTGACTACAAATTGAGTCTGCATCAAAGCAAGCACATACATGCTCACAGAAGTTTTTTTTTCACCAAAATTATTTTGTTGGAAATTCGTCAGATCTCCAGGAAATTACAGGGCTCGCTTTAGATTCTGGCATACTCTTTATATGTATGTGCAAGGATTTGTTTCTGCACAAGGATTTATCAAGATTTTCTCTTTTTTAATTATAGCATTATTTTGTTTATGAAGAATACAAGCATTAACCCTTACATTTCAGAGTCATTGTAGTGAGTTGCTTTATTAGATACAAGATTGCATTTCTTCTATAAAACCTTTTCATGAAAGCAGTAAACATTTTTTCTCATTGGAGAGAATATGTACGCCTTTTGTGATTATACCATTGCTACATAAATTGCCTTTGCAAAAGCTGGATGCTGAGCTTGTCACCTCAGACTGGAAATATGCTGTTTTCTGAAGGTTCCAAAACATATTTTCTGAGAGCACAGTTTGATAAAAGTTTTGATTCACATAATGGAAAATGTGGATATTAATAGATGCTTTAAAAGTAAAAAAACACAGAAACTGACTTTTTTAAAAGGAGGATATCGTAAAGGTCAAAAGAAACAGAACACAATTACAAAAATAAACCAAAATGAAACAATCCCCTCCCCTAACGTCTCCGCAACTCCGAAAGTAGATATTTATCAAAACTATGTAAAACAGGATGAGGATTTGTTTTTTACCGTATGTGGTCTGAACATTTATGTAAGGCATGTTTTCAGAATAAGAACATTTAAGCATTTACTAAAAACTTACATGCGGTACTGAAACATGTTCTTCCACTGATGATGTTTCCATAAAGTTAGCCCCACCAGTGCTTACAGGGGCAGGGCTTCTTTTGCTCGTTGGAGTCCTGTGTGCATTTCTGTATTTGTAATTGATTGTTGGCTTGCGAGTTAACTGCATCATTTAAAAATCTATCATCCTTTGGCTTACTGTACTTGACATTCGTCAGTTATGGCTTGCCTTTAATTTGGCCCCGATTCCTGGATTGACTAATGCCAGTACCTGATGCTGTGCAATCAGCCTTGATGACCTTGGTGCAGTTTGCAGGGTTGTGGGACAATGAATAGGATCCTAGATCCAGAAGGAAACTGCGTTGTACAGTAGGAGTTGAACCCAGGCTGAGGCTTTGGACATGATTAGTATAAAAAATAACACAAAATATTACTTGTATGTTCTCAGATTTTACTTTACAGCAGGTTGGACACATTTAACTCCAACACACAAGTGGTTTGAGTCTCCATTCTTAGGTGCATTGACAGTATCTGCTACTGCCTTCATTTTAGAGAAAATAAAATAAAGCACTTTAAAAAATATCTTCAATGTAGCTAGTGGGCTTTATTATAGCTTTCATTTATTCACCAAATATTTTGTTTGCTTCATATGTTTCATGAAGGAAAAACAAAGATTAAGTGAAATTACATAATCTACGGTAAACTAGGGTGGTTTCATGGTTTGAGGGTTTATGTGTGTGTGTGTATAGTGCCGTTTTTATTGAGTAAGGCTTTTTGCTAAATAGCAGTTTCACATTATACAGACAAACAGATTTAAAATTAAATGCTTTTGCACTATGGCTCATAGGACTGATCCTGGAAAAGTGTTGTGCTGTAACAGGCCAAGATAAAGCAAGGATTTCCTTCATTAATCCAAACTGGTCTGGGGTGCCACTACCTATAGAGACATACTTTTCGCATTCAAGTATCAATCTCCACTGAGGACAGCTGTGAAAAGTACAGCTTCTCTAGTTAAGACTTTCTGTCATGAATTTCTTCATTTTCCCATACCAAACACATTTACCGGTAAGCTTATATCATCTAGTGAAAAATGAAACAAAGAGAAGAAATGAAATACAATTGCCCCTTTTCCATTACAAGAACAATTTAAGAGAGAGAAGATATCATCAAAAACTGAACATAAAGGAACTGGTATAACTTTCTTCCTATTTCAATCAAATGCAAAAGGGACAAATAATGGAACTAAGGAACTTCAATATACTTACAGGTTATCATGATATGCAGTAAATCTTTACAGTTCTGCTCTCCAAGGAGACTCTTGGGTAAATAATAATGACTTTGGCCTCTTGGATAAATGAAGATGGATGTACTGAGAAAAATCTAATTATGTATTTCTCCTGCCTTGACTCTTATCTTGAGTGCCAGTATTATACTGTTGATGCTACATATATATATACCTATCTATATATATTCCAGCAGTACTGTACTAAAATTAAGCTTAATGCAGGAAAAAAGGAGCATACACACATCAGCAGATTTGTTTCTTTAATAATTCAATATTAAATCTGTGGATTTTGGAAATAAAGAATGTACCATTTTCTTTGAACGTTGGCTAGTGTAACTGAGTCAATACAGCTACACTGCAACCTCTAGTCTGTTCTGTGTATCGTCAACACGATTGTTCACTAAGGACCATGTCTTCACAAGGAATGATTTAAAAGTATTCCTATAGTAGTGTACCACAGCAGTAACTCTTTCTAGTAAAGATACAGCTTATCTTGTGAAAGATAAAATAATATTGCATACTTTATTTGGTTACCTCTGAGTTAAACAAGCTAAACAGCTGAGCAAATTCAACTGCTAAAAGATCTAAAGCTCCGGATTTTATTATTTTTGTTTTAAATGCAAGTGGGTTTACAACAGCAGTTTTTGGAAGATATTGTTATATCAGTGACTCACAAAGCTATGTCAGCAGAAGTCTACAATGTAGGTATAGCTTAATATCAGATTGATACAGACAGCAGAATATTGGAAATGTTATTGAGCGCCTCACTGGAAGAAAATATCTGAGGTCGCAGCTTGTCTGGCAGTCTTTACTGCTAACACTGAGGGGAAAGAAATACACCCTTTTCATGCAGAGCCCAGTCTGGTTGGGCAGAGCCTACAGTTACTTAGAAAAATGAGCATTTTTTATGTTGGTTCTGTCTATATGAGACAAGCTATTGGAGACAAGCAAAGCATTAAACTCCACAGTACCCATTTTTACAGTGTCCTTAGAGGGATATATTAAACTTTAAAAGTCTTTTCACCCACGTGAGAACTAATCCTCTGTTCTCTCTTTGTGTTTTTCTTCAGAATTCATTACAATATTTAATGATTAATTTTAGATCTGTCTTTTTGTTCTGAGGTCTTCTCTAACGTTCCTGGCTTCATTCATTTGCCTGGAAGGACCATGAGCTGTTTGGAGTCACAAACCATCTATTTGTTTCACATTTTAAAGTATGTAGGACAACAGAATCATGGTCCACCAGTATGGTTCCACATAACAGCTAGTAATAATGAGAATGTATTGGCTCCAAATCCTGTATTCACATAGGCTAGACAGCTGGGAGGTGTGAAAAGCCTCAAGCTCCTTTGATGTAAGAAAAATATGCAATGGAGTAAGAAGCAGCCATGAAAATTTGTGTATACAGGCAAGCCAAAGTTAGTAGCCCACAGAGGGATCTGAGAAACTTCCTTCATGCTGACTGCAGGAAATGTGGTGAAAAATCCCCACTTGGTGCTGTGGACACCTCCACCTTAAGTATGTATACAGTCAAAGATAATTTAATGGTAAGTTAACGTTCAAATCTTTGCAAATTTGCAGAGCAAGTAGAATATTTCAAATTGTTTATGCTGGTTGAAACTAAATATATAAAAGCATTAATGTACTTTATGAATCAGCAGAGAAATGATAGGCACAAAATCCTCTTGCGTCTAATGGATTGAAACTTCTAAGAAAATATATTTGGAAAAGTTTCAGGTTTTTGGTGAGGGCATAAGGTTAAAGAACAAGTTGGATAGTGATTACAGTTTTGAGTAAAATCCACATAGTAATGAATATATTTTTAGTACAGACAAACTCCAAAACTCCATTGGTGCATTTGAAACATGACCAGTCACACTGGCCATAAATATTCACAAAGTCTAGTTTAATTTACTTTTCTGAGGAAACACTTTCCAGAAACCTAGCAGCTATTACTAAAACCAAAACCATAAGATCAGTCAAGATCTTAAAATCAAAAAGTACTAATCTGTATAATTACTGTTGTGGCTGTGATAGCCTAGGGACATAAGTGAGGCAAGGTCTCTGCAGGGAGTAAATCTCTCTTGCAAAACTAGCTAATGAATTTGGAAAAGAAGCAGTACTCCCATCCCACCTTCAGTTTATTATCTCCCCTTTATTTGAATAATATTGAATATATAAATACTGTGTCTGA